GTGATCGTTTGAGACGGTGAAATATGACTGCCTACCAGGACCGGATTTAGACGATGAGGGCCAAGGTTATATTATGCCACGAGAAGGAGATGAAACTATACCACTGTCGAAACCAATGCAAGGAAATGACCCGCGATCGAAACATTACAAAGCATTAAGCCCGGAGAGGGGCAAATACCATAGCTTTAGCAACGAAAGTGCCGCAAATAAACAAGATCACAAATATAGCCAGAAACTTGGCAGCTTCGGCTAGCTAGCAGCAGGTTGACCATGGTTGAGTTTTGATTTTTTCTCAAAAGGCATTGGAATTGGAATAATGCCACGAGGCCTCAAGTTTTATAATGCCTTGATTTCCTCAGTTATATAATCCAACGAGGCCCTGCTGTTTTGAATTATATCAGGTAATCTCCGAAAATATGTGTCTGATTTTATTAGAAAGCGTCGCTGGAATTACATCGGTCACGTACTCAGAATGGACATACAGAGACTTCCCCACCAAGCCTTCGTATGGTCACCAGAGGGTAAAAGAAAACAGGGAAGACCAAAAGAAACTCTCCGTAGAACCATCACAAGGGAGAGCTCAACCATGGGTCTCAGTCGCACTCAAGACCTACATCAAGTGGCAAAGAACCGACAGACGTGGAAAGCTATGACCTCTGCCCTATGCGCCATCTTTGGCACAAGAGGAATAACTAACTAACTAACTAACTAATCTCCGAAAACTGTTAACTATATACACATTTCAAGCATATAGATAATGAAAGTATATTAGGTAGGTAAGTTGTACCCCACCAGGACATCACACAAGCGATAAACACCTATTGACACAATGTACCACCATGCGGATGAGGATCCCCCGTGGAAGGGCCCCGTAAACCCCGTTCAGTCGTTAGGCCCGGCTATATTTAGGGCGCCGGCAAAAGCCAGGGTGGGACTTCAAAATTACTAAAATTGCATCCCACAAGGGGACGACTTTGGTACGTATAAAATATACTGTCGTTTAAATTGTTAGTAAAAGAAATAATAAAGAGTATGTCTGGCGTCTCGCATACATTGATCACGGTAGCTCTTGTGCCAGGTAAGTATTGTCTCGCATAAATTATTTTATATAATCCTCTTAAATGCTGTATTCAAAGTAAATTGGATTTTTTATTTAAAAAAATGTATTTTTTAAGGTCCCTGCAAATTGTGAGGCCCTAGGGTGCAGCTTAGTTAGCTTATGCCTACATCCAGCACTGCTGCCCACACTTATCAACAAGACACATGATGGTGACGGTGATTGCTCAAATTAGGACACGTCGTACATGTCAGGTTCCAGCTGTTTTCAAGGTACACAACTCTTGCTGTCACATGAAGTTGTCTCCATATCCAAGAATAACCTCCCATGAAATGATGTCATTATAATGGCTGCCATGAACTGCTGAAAGTAGGTGGGGACATCATCATACGATTTCACTGCAGTGTTTTTCTCATCTTTCATTGCTGTGTTGGTCGTTGTTTTTATGTGTCCACCCAAAGTATATTAAGTGTAAACATTAACAGAAACCTATTGTAGCTGGTTTGAGGAATTACATGGTCATTGTCTGAAATTAAAATAAAGTGATAACACTAACAGAATGGATAAAATCCTGAATAAGAAAGACTTACAAAAACAACAATAATTCTCTTCCGGTCTCAATCGATCCGATGTTGATAATGTTCCCTGAAGGTGATGTTTAGTGGCTAATTTTGATCCCTCAATGGATATCAATGTGCGTGTTGTTGTTTACTCAAATATAGTACCATTGAGTGTTTTGATAGCTGGCGTGAGCGAATTAGTTCTTTACAACACAACCCGTGCACCCAAGTAGTGGTTTAGATTATTGACTACCTTCTATGAAGTGAATGGGTAGTTTCAGAATTAGAGAATTCTCTAAAAATCCCGAGCATCATTGCTGGATATGACATTGTTGTCAAACGGCTACCTATCCATACATCTTTGAAGTCTCCAGGACAGTTCTTAGCTAAGATCAGATACATGTTTTCACAGTTTACCTGCCTTAGCACAAAACAAAATGTAGTTTCTGACTGATATAGACAAAAGTCAAGCCAGGACCAACCATGACTCAAGAAGGACCTACTATACAGTAATGGCTGACATAGTTACATTATTATGCTGACAAATATCTCACTTTATCAAGCATTATTAATAGCTGGAACTAGTGAATAAGCAGCACAGACTGACTATGCGGATCATGGGGACAGGTCCCAGAAGCCCCATTCAGTCCATAGGTTGGATTATATTAGGGCCCCTGGCAACAGTCAGAGTAGGGTGCAGTAACTCGGTGAATAAACACAATGCCAGATAAAGGAGAAATGATGTGTATTTTAAAATCCAGTGCAGTACCGCTTGTAGAATCCGCCAGCCATATTTTGTATGACAGGAGATACTTAGGATATTTGATTCTAAAGCTGTTTTTTTTTTTTGCAAAGGGATGTTTACTTTGTAATTATCAATACAGTTTGTTGTTTAAAGTAAGTAAAAAGTAAAGGACCCTTTCCACGCCTTTAGGCATATAGGGCTAGACCTATATTTTATAGACCAACGGCACAAGATGGGTGATGTGGTCAGCATCAGGCCGGCCGCCTCTACTTCCCGGGACAACACCCGGTACCCACTCAAGGCTGGGTCAAGGTCATTTTTAAAGAAAAGTCCGGCTCCGCCAGGGAGTGAACCCATGACCTTTCAATCCATGGCATGCGTCTAGCCGCTCCGCCACGGGGACTCCCGTTTGTTCTTTACTATTTTGTTAAATAATTAACCTTTAAATTGTTTAAATGGCCTTGGCTCCCGGGTCGACCCGGCCTAAAATTGGTACCAGGTAAGGTCCTAGAAAGTAAAAGCAGCCATAGTGATTTTGATCACATTGCCTATTGAGTGTGGATTGGTCCACAAAAAAATGACTTTAGCCTCATATACCTGAAGCGCCATTGTATTTTTAATAAGAATAGACACATGTAGTTTGACCTGCATAGTTTTTTGTGTATTTATAGCTAGGAGTTGTTGTAGCACTGCAGTTAGTGAACCTGTGGGTAGCATTCGGCTTTACAGATCACTGTAACTCTGGGAGGCAGTCTACATTCTTTGGTCATGCATAAGAAGGAGAAAAGGAGGGAGTCTACATTCTTTGGTCATGCATAAGAAGGAGAAAAGGAGGGAGTCTACATTCTTTGGTCATGCATAAGAAGGAGAAAAGGAGGCAGTCTACATTCTTTGGTCATGCATAAGAAGGAGAAAAGGAGACAGTCTACATTCTTTGGTCGTGCATAAGAAGGAGAAAAGGAGACAGTCTACATTCTTTGGTCATGCATAATAAGGAGAAAAGGAGGCAGTCTACATTCTTTGGTCATGCATAAGAAGGAGAAAAGGAGGCAGTCTACATTCTTTGGTCATGCATAAGAAGGAGAAAAGGAGGCAGTCTACATTCTTTGGTCATGCCATAAGAAGGAGAAAACTGGAGTATGCCATGACTGGGAAAGGAAAGTTGGAGAGGAAAAGAGGCAGAGGGAGCACGAAAGAGAAGATGCTGGACAGATTGACGTTATGGTTTAAATGATCATTTGTGTAGGAATTGATTAAAAGTACATGATATAGAAGCTTATGGCTGGACATTATTACCAAGACCACATTGCTTGGACTATAAGAAGAAGAATGACTCTGTGTTTACCTCTTTCAGTCCCAAGGAAAATATCATACGTTCATAGGTTTATACATAGAAGCGAAGTGATGGCAGGATGTACAGATTATACATTTCTCTTTACTATCCCTTAGGCCTGGGATGCTATACCCTCTGGGAAAGAAATAATTTTTTGAGAATTGTTGGGAAGGAAACAAATAAGGAAGGACCTACCCCTAGTCATTACACCATGGTCTGGCACAGTGTTCCTCAACCTTTTCAGTCGTGTGGCCCACCAAACAAGAGAAATGGTTTTAGTGGTTACATCACCTGACAGCTATGTGCTACCAAACAATCTCTGCCCCAATTTATTTACGTGATTTCTGATGGCCCGTTTTATGTGTGTATGGGGTTTCTGGGATTTTTACCTGTTTTGGTCTCATCCTCGGGGTGTGGTTATCCTACAGATTGCAATAATGGGAGAGAAGAACTACCTGCCCAATTCCGTTACGTGATTTCTGATGGCCCACCTGAAGTTTTTCCATGACCCAATGGTTAAAGGACACTGGAGCAGAATAATTGCTGCCCAATTCTGTTTCATGATTTTTGGTGGCCCACCTGGAGTTTGTCCAAGGACTAATTGTTACAGGACACTAGAGTATCATAACTATTGACCTAATACTTTACCTTGAAGTGATGATATCTGTGATCAAGCTATATTTACATTATACATATAGTGAATATAGGTGTCTTCTCTGTGGAGTAGTCAAGTTATTAGGCCTCAATACTGAAAGTCTTCGCTTTGTGCCACAGAAGCATTATTTGGTTTATGAGTGCAGTTATGGAAATCCTGCAAATAATTTTCTAGAGCAGGACCATTCAACTGGCAGCCCCTGGGCCAGATTGGGCCCACAGAGGCCTAGCAAGTGGCCCACAGATCATTGCCAAGTGTATTGTTTTAGTGATATTTCTATGCTGGTGCTCCGGCCTCTGGTCTGAAACAATCCCTGTTTTCAAGATTTTGGCCCTTGGGTGAACTTGGCTGAATAGCAATGTGCTAGAGCTGTGGAGATTGTGCTGTACAGGTAGCTAGCTATTCTGGGGAAGAAGACCAACCTGTGTGGGATAACCTGGCGCAGTGAAGTGTTCTTGACTTTATCATAATGCCTTTGTGAAGAAGGAACAACAGGGAGCGGGTGGGTGATGGGAGATGGATTGACAGACAGACCGACTGACAGATACATGCACATAACTGATTTTATTTAAACGTCTTAAATTCTGCAGATTTATATACGTGAATGAAAACCGCATAATCTGACAGTAGCTGACACAGATAAGTTCACCATGACGTCTTATGGGAAAGGCAACTTTGACGGGTATACCCCGTACCAAGGAGACTCACGTTCTGAAGGTTTGGGATGTTTTCTTCAAACCAGATTTGTTTGTTGTTGGTGTGTGTGTGTGTTTTAAAATCTGTCTACATTAATGTCGGCGTCTGTAGATTAGGCGTTGTAAACACACTTCGTAATGCTGGGATATCAGGTTTGTATGATTGTGGTGTATCATGAGTAGGGCTGGAAGTTCAATCCTGCATTGGATTTGACAGTGGTACTGAGAGCTGCCCATCTAGAAAGGAGTGACAAACTACTGGACGTACATTTGCCTGGAAAAGCCACAACAGCCAAAAAAAAATGCTGCATTGGTTCTTCAACAACCTATAAAGGATACACAACTAACTATAATAATATCAAGTATACATTACAAGCAATATAAGAAACCATCTGGTGGGGACTAAGATCAGTGATGTACGAATGTGTGAATGTAGATTTGAAGACAATCGAGAGATTAGAAACACCGGCATTGACTGGTTGGAGGGCACACAGCTGGAAGATCTCAGATTTACTGACGTTCTGAGTACAAATAATGATAAGTTAAGAAAAAGAGATGATTTAGAAAATATAATAAATGCGGCTTCAAAAATGGGGGAACAAAAAGGTTATGAAAATACAAATATAATAAAGACACCACCAACAGATCAAGCAGATGTAACATGAGAGACAAATGGAATTAAAGTAGCAGATCAATTTATTTATTTAGATAGCAATTTTGATAATCAAGAAACTGCACAGAGTAAGATTATGACACACATTTGGCAAGGCATAAGCAGCTTTTTAAAACCTGAACAAAATATATTACTCAGAATTGTATAGTTGTAAATCTCAACTTACATATTTTCAGTTCTAATGTTATCAGTTTTAACATATGCTAGTGACAGTTGAAGAACCACTATAGACATGGAAGAAAATTTAAATGCATTCAAAAACAAATGCCAGAGGAAAATGTTGAACATGAATGGGTGAAGAACTAAAAGAAATGTTTGGGTAACCACTAACAACAACAGTTAAGAAGATGGCACTATATTCAACAGTACTTGTTTGATGATTTTCCTGTACCATTCGGTATAAAAATGTGAACCTGAAATTTTTTTGGGGACTTTATTTGCCAATGATATGAAGGAAAAGAAATCATTGTTTTCCTATGTGGATTCTGAGGCTCCATTGTGGGGAATACAAGAATAGACCTACTGCTTCCCCAAGCATGTCAAAAGAGTCGACTATCTGGGGGTTTCCTTTGAAGTCACAATACACCTGCCAGAGAGACAAGGAACAACAAATCTGCATACAAATAAGTCAGATCTGTAAAATGGATGTGCATGCAACACTCAGGTTCTGAAACTAGTCTAAGGTCGAGAAGTTGACGAACAACCAGAACTTTCTGCTGGAGTTTACAGCCGGTGAATGCGAAAAAGACCAAGAAGAATAAGATCTTTGTTTATTCATGCAGGCACAGACCACCCAGAAACATCAGCTCAGTTTCATGTTTGTGTGTGCCAGAGTATGCAGGTGAAATGGGGAGTAAACAGGCTGATAAGATGGGCTGGCAGGACTACTGTGGAAAGTTGACAAACAGCTTAACTGAATGCTTTCAGAGAGAGAGTATGATTGAATTGATCAGATGATGGTTATGGTTCTGCAACCTTCATCAGACTGCATAACTGTAAAGTTGAAATCAAATAAGAGCACCATGATCAGTTGCTACACAATGGGAGGTATATTGAGGAGTGGATATGCTCAGATATGGATGAAATGGTTTAGTGAACCGTAACAATTATCTGTCAGATGATTAACCATTAAAAAGAGCTTAGAGGCAGCAGGAGTGTGGATCCTAATACTTCTTCATTCACTCTTAAAAAAATTGTTGGCACATTGTGGGTTACAGCTAGGCTGTGATATCTGTGCCTTTTGGCTGAATAACTCTGATTTCATCTAGTCCCTAATTAGTCTGCTAAAAATATGCTTTATAAGAAGGGGAAGGGGGGTAAGTTTTTTTCTTCCCCAAAATGGTACACTAAGTTTATAAAACAAGTGTAGTTAATACCTTGGTCATCCAGAGGTTCGATTCCTAGTGCGATAACTATAGCTTAAAATTTGTATGTTGTCTAGGGTATCCTTAAATCTTTCTACTTCTTTCTGTGAGTGTCGATCAATACATTGTTTGTTTATCATATGTAATGTCAGCGAGAGTCGCTGACAAAGATGGCCTATATCAGACTAATAAAAGTACAGCTTGTAACATGCTAGAATTATTTGTCGAGCCTCAGGCTAAAAAACTCTTTAGTTTATACAATCCAGTTCTGTTTCATAGTTTTTGATCAGTTCTGTTCTTTATCTGTAGGATGCATCTCTCACCTGTAGATGTAGTGAATCTCCAACACAGTCTTTTACCCTGGATGTACACCTTTTGACTGATGTTTTGTTCATCACTTCATGCTATCCTCCCACTTGTATCACTAACTACCTATTGCTCACTTGCTTTCAACTTTATTTTAGATGTTGTAATAACTTAATAACATTACATTTTCTGTTTTAGGAGAGAGAGGCTCAGATTTTGCCAAGTTATCCAGGGATATAAGCAGTAATGTACAGAAAATTACCCAGAATGGTAGGTTGCTAAAACATTTGGGCCTGTTCAGGGTTCTTTCTATATTGGTGTATCAACATTTTGTATCTTTTAAGGACACTTGAGATCAAGAATCACTTATACAAACTAAAGTTTGCCTGTCATTATGCCTACCATTCTTGTACACATATGGACAAGAAGAAGATGTTTGCACCTTTCTGTCTTTCCAGCCAACAGTAGAAAAAATGTGAATCACAGCCCTTGGCCATGGTGAGTGTGACTAGCAAGACCAGCTCGCATTAAGAAGTATCTTCTACAAAATATGCATGAGATTTCAGGACCATTGTTGCTGTCACATGTACAACAGATCATGGCCTCCAAATACAACATATCAAGAAAAAACTTCTGGCCAAGAGAAACATCAGTGCATGCCAAACTTTACGGGTTGCTAAGTGAATACAACAGACAGTAAAGTTGATACTAGAGGCAGCATTGCAGACATAGATCATCTATTTCAAGCAAAAAAAAAAAAGAAAAGAAGAAGAAGCTATCACATGTGTCTGGCATGTATCTTTGCAGATGGTCAGCTCATAACCTGGTTTTCCTTTATCCCTATTTCCTTCTTAATTCACCCCTCAATGAGTTGTGATACAGTACATTCTGTTTTCAATCCAATTCCATATTTGTTTCATTCATGTCCCACTTGCACAAATGTTTGAATTATTGTAAAGGCCAACCCCATTATGTTGTACCCATATATATAATTCCATAGAGCAGGCATGTCAAATTTCAGGCCCTTTGCGCACACACCTGCAGCCGCACAGAAGAAATATTCTGCAATCAATTTTATGAAATGACTTCAGTTAGTTGTTATGTGTGGCCCTCAGGAGGACACAGATTTGACTCATATGGCCTTCGGGGGACCCTCAGTTTGACTTGCCTGCCATAGAGGATGTCCTTAGGGAACAGGAAAAACATATGTCCAAAAATATCATGTAGAATTGGAATATATTTGGTTAATTGCTGACTGAATGTTTGCCCAGAGATTTACATCCACAGACATCTGTTTGAGAGTCTCAGTTATTCTTTTCTTTGCCCACTGACCTCAGTTTTGGGAGAAATGTAAGAATCTTTTCTATGCTCTTTCTACTGTGAAAGCAGGTCTTCATTTGTCTAAGATTGTTCTTGATGCCACTAATTCAGCTTTTCTGTGGTCTTTCCCTTGCTTTATGCTCATTATATTGCTTTGGGGTGATTCTCTGTGGATAAATGGTTGAACAAATGGGTCTTTATCTATATATGTGTGTGTGTGTGCGAGTGCGTACATGAGAGAAAGAGAGAGAGAGAATAATTAATGGCGTCTCAGAGAAATCCACAGATCTAAATTACAATAGCATCCTAAGGTAGAACATTCTGAACAACAGCAAACAGGAGTCGCAGATAAATTATTGCAGTATCTTATTGATAATTCAGTTTAGGGAAATGATAAAGGTAGAGAGGCTATAAATCATTCTTTTTGTGAGTCATGTACGACATTCAGAATCAGCAGCTGTGACAAACTGAGCAGTGTTGCCTCATTCTTTTTTACCAGGGTCTAGTGTTTCTTTTTTTGTAATTGAGTATACACTGGTGATTCCAACTCTTAGCCAAACATATATAAAGATATTAAATGAGATACAGTATGAGGCGGTGCACATTATACTTGGAGATGCACAGAGAATACGGCCATCAGGGCGATGCATTACCACCTTGATCTTCCAACCATGCCGCACATATGCGTATCTGTAAGTCAGTGCCAACACACATCACCCACTGCACAGTGAAATTCACAGGAAGAATGATAGCAGGTTCAAGTGGGGGAAATCTCAGATGGGTCAGGCTGAGGACATTATTCAACTTGTTTGTTCACTTGATGACATAGAACCTGGTGAGGAATGTTTATGAGTGCTAGCAGAGTGTTTTAAACCCTTTTGAGTCTGAATAAAATTAGGCAGAGACTGCAGACAGACAAAAACTCAGTGGCGATGGAGTTGGAAGTTCAAGCTTTGATTCTTGAAAATTCTGCTTATGGGGATGCAGTTATTTACACCAGTGGATCCATTTTTCGGCCCGTGCAAAACTCATAGGCATTGAGGGAGAATTGCAGAGTGCTTTTGCAGAAGATGAGAGACAGGATAGGTTAGAAGATAGTGGTTGGAGTCTCTGACAGGAATAAGTTTCATTTTTGTATTAGAATGAATGAGTAAACTGGCTTTCTGGCAGGGCCACGGTAGGCACACGAGAACCATTGGACCAAGCCGATGTTCTTAGTGCTCTGAGAGAGAGGCAGGATGCATAGGTGATTCAGGAGATGACAGTGAATTGGTAACCTTGATGAGAATACAGGATTTTAATGTGAAAACAGGTTTCACCAGACAGGTGCCAAAGAAGAATAGTAAACCATCATAGAAACTGGTGTTATCAGTCGCCACAAGCTAATGAAAGAGATACTGAATGTTCTGATGAAAGTAAAAAGTAAAGTAAGTAAAGTAAAGGACCCTTTTCTGCACTTTCAGGCATAACAGACATCTAGTGCTAGACGTATATTTTATAGACCAATCACACTCGGTGGGGGATGTGGTCAGCATCACGCTGGCTGCATTAACACCCATTTAAGGCTGGTTTGACCTGGCTCATTTTTGACTACAGTCTGGCTCTATCAGGACCCGAACCCACGACCTTCGGATCTGCAAGCCAGCGTTAAGCTGCAACACCATGGCAGCTTCTGTAATCTGTTCTGATGAAACACACAATAGTTTAGGTTTAAACAATGGATCAACATCATGGCATAAGGGTAGTAACCCATAAGTGCTCTGTTCTACTTCTAATTCAAGCCTGAGTTCATAGAATCTCCACGCAGTGCACGAACTCAATAGCACCGGCGAGGTTTCTAAAATACTTAGGTCGATTTTTAACTCCAAATTTTGCCCTAGCAGCGCCCCTTAGGCTACTTACTCTTTTTGATTTCCAACTGCCAAGGGATTTTGTGCGTGCGCAACAAACAATACATATGGGCATCTGATCTTACTACCCGAAGACCAGGGGAAATTACTAGAAGTCTATGTGAAAAATCCCAGCCTGAAGCCGTGACCCCTAGCACTTGAAGCAGACGCCAAGCCTCGAGACCACACAGCTCCCCTCACAATGGAAATATAATCAGACGGCTACAGGCACCACTGCTAATGGTACGCTCTGCTTGCTGCCCCGGATAGGGCTGGATCGCTTATAGGAGTGTTTCAAATACTGTAATGTTGGTTCCTAGCTCAGCTTATCCTGCGAAATCTTAAAGAGTTTGTTAAATGTGTTGTTTGGGTTCATCGGCTGTAAACCCCGGCGGAAAGACCTGGTTGTTCGCCCATTTCTGGATTTTGGCTTTGTTCCAGGACCTTAGTTTTCTATATGTATCAGTTTGACAGATCATGCTTAATTATATGCAGACTGTTGTTTCTTGACTCTAGGCAGATGCACTTCACCTTTGAAGGAAGTCCTCAATTAGTTGACTGTTATTACATGATTGCTGGCCAGGCAGTGGGTCTGTTCTTGTTTTCCCCACAATGGGACCCTGGAACCCACACCGGGGTTTGTTATACTTAACTAGATTCACCTTTTTGAGTTTTGAGGCAGTTAAAAAAAATATCAGTTTCTTTAGTTATTGTTTGCTGCTTGACTGGTGCAGGGCCAACTTTCCAGTTTGACCATATTGTCCAAGGTACTCTTGAAACAGTTCATCTGTGACGTTTAGCATCTCACAGTTTAGTTATTATGGGAGAGAGTTTGAGTTGTTAAATTGTACATATGTTTTTTTGTGTGTGTTCAGTAACCCAGATCCAGAAGTTAGTGAACCAGATTGGAACTCTTCAAGATTCAGATGACATGAGACAGAGAATGTAAGTTTTTCTGGTGTCCGTGGTAACACAGTTTTTTTTAACTGGTTTGGTTACTTTACCTAGTCAACATGATTTTCTTTTAGTATTATAAATCATCATCATCCCATAACATTGCTTCTTGTTGGGTTACCAGTTTTTTGTTGTTGACTGTCTGATCAGCTCTCTCCACCTTTGGCCGTCAGTTGCGATGGACTTCATGGTTGCATGCCTGAGGCCTGTCCTGTCAGACATGTTCTGTAACCATGTCTTTCTTGGTCTGCCTTTTCTCCTCTTCCCCTCTACTGAGTTCTGTAGTATTGTTTTTGAGAGGTCGTTAGATCTTATTACATGTCCGTACCATTATATTTTTTGCCTTTTCACTGTAGTTAAATGAGGTTCCTAGTTGCCAATGTGCTGTTTAATTATATGGCGATCCTCTTTGTTTGTAATGTAGTCTCCGTATGATAAAGAAGAATTTTTCAAAACATTGCATTTCCAATGCTTGTATCTTTCTTTCGAGTTCAGCTGTTAAGGGTGTTAAAAATGCACTTTCATAATTTTGACATACTGAACTTCAAAGTAAACTACAAGTGATTTGGTAACAGACCACCATGCACTGATTTTGACAGTGGTTTTCTCATTAACTGTTCAGTAGCAGTGGTGGACTTCTTCTTTTGCATTCTCAGCCCTTGCTGTAGATACCACCCACCCCCTTTCATCTCTATGATTTGCTCCTCTCTTTCCAGTGGATGACTGCAACCGTTTATAGATTTACTTGGATATTATCTCTCCATATCTTCTTGGTCTGCCTCATAGTCTGTGGCCATTCAATGCCCATGTGTGCACAGTTTTTGCTTCTCTGTCATCTGCCATTCTTTCTAAATGTCGCAGCCATTTGAGTATATTAGACATGGTGATGTCAGTGATAAATGGTGTTTTGAACAGATTATAAATTTCATTGTTGTTTCTCATTGTCCAGTTCTTGCTGTCTGCACCTTTGATGTTTCCAAAGATTCATCATAAGACTCTAGTTTAAACAATTTTGAAACCTTTGAAGCTTCATCTCTTTTAATTGTGCTCCATGTTTCAAAGCCATTTAGAACAACTGGTCTTGTCACCATTTTATATATTGTGCTCTTGTTGTTACAAGAAACAGCCTTTGATTTTAGCAGACATTGTAGGGCGTACTTTATTTTCAGATTCTACTCTGGATTATATTTCTTCTCATGTTGGAGCATTTAAGTTTGTACCTAGGTACTTGCAGTGGCAATCTACTGAATGTAAAGTTGCCTAGTAAAATCACAAACAGCCAACACACTAGTTTGGCTTGTGCCATCCTGTGAAGGATATGCAGCAGACTTGTTAATCTGTTCCAAGGTGCTGTGACAGGACATTATGAAGGTACTGATTTGCTGCCGGTGGGTCCATCACTGCAGAACAGCGGTTCTCAACCTGTGGCTCGCTACCCTTTTTTGAGTCAAACAACACTTTCACAGGGGGATTGTCTATGATCATCGAATAACACACACTTGCTGAAGTTATGCAGTAATAACGAAAATAATGGCATGTTTGGGGGGTCGCCACAACATGAGTAACTATTAAAGTGCCTTGGAATTGAGTGTGGGTTCCGGGCCCCATTGTGGGAAAACCACGAATAGGCCCACTGCCTCAGCAACAAGCATGTCGTAGGAGTCGACTATTGGGGACTTCTTTCGAAGTCAGAGTGCATCTTTCCAAGTGGCAAGGAACAACTAATTGCCAACAAGTGAAGCCAGCAAAATGGATGTACATACAAAACTCATGTCCTGACACAAAGCCAAAGTACAAACAACCAGGACTTTACGATAAAGCCTTCAGGTGGCGAACAAAGAAGAAAAAGAAGAAGACACATTTAGGCGCTATTCTTTTCTCGGAAAACAACACATACATTCTTCTTTAACATAGTATCATCAGTATCAACAACAAACTCACTGCGAAAGCCTTCAGTGCTGGCCTCATTTTCATTCCCTTTCATTATCCTTTTTCAGCTTCTGGGGCTTATTTTGAAAAACAACTAAATACAAAATTTATCATACAAATGCATCACATTCTAGCAAGATTTTGCGGGAAGCGTGTGTTATAGGGTAACTGATTCTCTCTGGCTGAAAGTTCATTCTCAGAAACACATGGTTTCCAGTTTGGCTGTTGAAGATTACAATTATTTTTTGAAACCAAATTATGTTTTCTTTTGAAAAATATGTTCAGAAACTGTTTTTCTTTTTAAAAGGAGAGTCACCTGAGAACCGAGGCCCTATTTTTTTGATCAGTTTGATATAATTTTTGCTTCCTTTTACTTTCTTTCTGTCTAATGTTAATTTTATGTATGAAAAAGCTGTGATGACAATGAGAGAAGATTCTTGACAGCCTTTTGTTGTGGTATATACATGGACAGAATAACAACAGCAGTAAACCATGTAATGATAAGCGAACTGTTAACTACACCAAGCAGTGAGACAGAGTTAGTTGAAAGAGATCATTATAATGAAAACATACAAGCCGATCCTGAAGAAGTACATCCCCAAATGCGCTACACACAGTCTGCAAGGAATATAACATGAAGATCAGCATCACCAAAACAGAAATTATGAAAATAAGTGGAACACCTAATATACTAACTATTCAAGTTAAAAACGAACAACTCAAACAAGTACAGCAATTTAAATACTTGGGGAGCATCTTCACAGATGATGGAAGAATTGATAGAGAACTTGAGGCAAGATGTCAAAAGGCGAACGCAGTAACTTACCAACTCTCCCCACTGCTAAAACACCCAAGCATCACTATGGCACTAAAACGACAACTGATAAATTGCATGTTTATACCAACCCTCTGCTACCAATGCCAAACCTGGTCCCTAACAAGAGCACAGGAGAAAAATATCACGACGTGTGAAATGAGATGCTTACGTAAGGCTGCCAATGTCACAGAGTTCGAAACGAGAACATTAGAGCAATTGTAGGAACCACACCATGCCTGCAATACATAAAGAAGCAACAAATAGAGTGGTTTGGCCACTTGATGCGAATGCAAACCGACCAACTGCCTCTACGAGCATTCAACGAACAGCACTACTGCCCTAGAGCAAGAGGCAGACTGAGAGTACGATGGATAGACAATATATCAGAGATCCTGAGGCAACACGGACTAACAACAACACGTGCAACACACCTGGCCCAGGATAGAAAACTGCGACTCCCCACTACGCTGTGAGGCAATTGTGGACAAGACAAGACAAGACATAAGTGTTTTATGTTTGGCACCTCATGGATCACTCTGGTACAGATACTGAAGTGAGAAATCCTAACCTGTAGGATAATGCTCAACAATGAATACTTGGTCGTGAGGTCAACGTTAGTTTAACACTTATAAATCCCTCCAAGAAGGAACATCCATTTCGGTACCCCAACACATGGCATGGAGGGATGTCAGCACAGAAACTGATACAGTGCTGTGGAGGGGCAATTTCACCCATGCCAGTCAGCAAGACACTAGATGTTGATGATAATTAACAACTTCAGTGAGTTTTATATACATACATATACTTTCAGACATCAGACTACCCACTACACAAAGCAGCTGGCCAATGAAACAAGCCAGTACCTAAAAAGTCTGGCACATCTTCCTGTACCATCTTCACAGTCGGAGCAGGTAGGTGCAGAATTACAAATGGACAGCACATTCAGCAGTTTTTTCCTTTCTCAAAGCACATTTTCATTGTACACAATTACATTGGTAAGCTCTAGATTTCCATAAATCTCCTTATAGTCCATGCTGTGTGGTGTTGGTGATCATTTCTGTTCACAGCCTTCTGTCTTGTGAACCGTGTGTCAGTTATTTCTGATGGAATTTCTCTTCTGTGCCATGATGCTAGACTGGTTAACATCTCTCTGGGTGTACCTCAATTGCTTTTCTCCTCCAATATTTCTCTAGGCCTCATCATATCTCTCTTCTCCTCCAATACCTCTCTGGGTTTCCCTCTTGCTTTCTTCTCCTCAAATATCTCTCTGGGTGTCCCATCTATCTCTCTTCTCGTTCAGTATCCCTTTGGGTGTCCCATTTGCTCTCTTCTCCAATATCTTTCTGGGTGTCCATCTATCTCTCTTCTCCAATATCTCTCTTGGTTTTCCTCTGTCTATTTTCTCCTCAAATATCTCTCTGGGTGTCCCTCTTTCTCTCTTCTCCTCCAGTATCTCTCTGGGTGTCCCTCGTTCTCTCTTCTCCTCCAATATCTCTCTATGTGTCCCTCTTGCTCTCTTCTCTTCCAATATCTCTCTGGGTGTCCCTCTTGCTCTCTTCTCCTCCAATATCTGTCTGGGTGTCCCTCTTGTTCTCTTCTCCTCCAATATCTTTCTGGGTCTCCCTCTTGCTCTCTTCTCCTCCAATATCTCTCTGCGTGTACTTTTTCTTTTTTCTCTTCCAATATCTCTCTGGGTCTCCCTCTATCTCTCTTCTCCTCCAATGTCTCTCTGGGTGTCTATCTTTCTCTCTTCTACTCCAATATCTCTCTGGGTGTCCCATTTGCTTTCTTCTCCTCCAATATCTCTCTGGGTGTCCCTCTTTCTCTCCTCTCCTCCAATATCTTTTGGGGTGTCCATCTATCTCTCTTCTCCAATATCTCTCTGGGTTTTCCTCTGTCTCTTGTCTCTTCCAGTATCTCTCTGGGTCTCCCTCTATCTCTCTTCTCCTCCAATGTCTCTCTGGGTGTCCATCTGTCTCTCTTCTACTCCAATATTTCTCTGGGTGTCCCATTGGCTTTCTTCTTCATTATCTCTCTGGGTGTACTCTTTCTCTCTTCGCTTCCAATATCTCCCTGGGTCTCCCTCTGTCTCTCTTCTTCTCCAACTTTCCCAGTCACAGTATCCTCTATATAGCTCTCAGCCATTCAGGCATGTTATTTAAGTGCACCAAAGAGTTTCCATAGTGGGATATTTGTTCCCCCACATCATTAGAGGCACACGATATTGTCCATAAACTGAAGAAATTTCAGTAACAGATTAAATATCTTTTTTTCAAAGCCTTTCTGAAATTCACTACTCATGTGAAGAATGGAGCATCGGTTAATTCTGTCTGTGAAAAGTATTATTTGTGTTCCAGGTCATGCAAAATTCTTTAAAGTATGAAAATTCTAATCAGAGCCACTATTTTGTCTTGTTGTTGTATCCATTGAACTGCAACTTTAGATAGATAACTTGATTTGCTGTTTTGGCTCATTTAAAAATGGTAATAAAACATTAAAAGTTTTGAGTAAAGTCCCAGTGTGATGAGTATCAAACGCATGCATGATGGGAGAAGAAAGGTCAGAAGTTCTGATTAAATGTGTGCAGCGAGTCAACTGAGGAATAAAACATTAAAGAGTTCTTTTACCAAGTGAAGAAAACTCAACACAACAGTGAGTGCAAGCAGGAAGTATGTAAATTATTGTACTCACTGTAGGAAGTTGAGGATGGGTATATCTACCAAATCCGCGGAGATAAAAATTGTCTTGGCGGTTATATCCATCATACCTCCTAAGATAAAAACTGGTTTTGATGGTTTTATCCATCATACCCACTGAGATAAAAATTGGTCTTGGCAGTTATATCCATCATACCCACTGAGATAAAAAATTGGTCTTGGCAGTTATATCCATCATACCCACTGAGATAAAAATTGTTCTTGGCAGTTATATCCATCATAACTCCTGAGATACAAATTGGTCTTGGCAGTTATATCCATCATATCCAATGAGATAAAAACTGGTCTTGTTGGTTATATCCATCAGACCCACTGAGATAAAAACTAGTCTTGGCAGTTATATCCATCATACCTCCTGAGATAAAAATTGGTCTTGATTGTTATATCCATCATACCCCCTAAGATAACAATTGGTTATGGCGGTTATATCCATCATACCCACTGAGATAAAAATTGGTCTTGGCAGTTATATCCATCATACCCACTGAAATAAAGATTGGTCTTGGCGGTTATATCCATCATACCCCCTGAGATAAAAACTGGTCTTGGCAGTTATATCCATCATACCTCCTGAGATGAAAATTTGTCTTGGTGGTTATATCCATCATACCCTCTAAGATAAAATTTGTCTTTGGCAGTTATATCCATCATAAATACTCTTTCCCGCCTTAATTGACAAAGATAAATTGCCCAGAATATTCTTTATAACATTTAGTATCATAGCTGTAAGTGCTTTCTGCAGAAATGTCTAATTTGTTACAAAATAACTTGAAATCTTCAGAGACAATGGAAAATGCAGAAGGAGAGACTGACAGATGAGTTTACCAATGCTCTCAAGAACTTCCAGACGGTACAGAGAGCTGCAGCAGAGAAAGAGAAGGAAAGTGTACAGAGGACAATAGCCCATTCTGGCCTGGATAGGGTAAAGTTGCTTCCCTGAGAAATTTTCTTTTGTTGCAAGAAGCCATGTTTTCTATCATTTCTGTCTGACCATTTAGGTATTCATTTGTGTTAATGTGTTTTGAATACGGCAGAAATACAGTTATGTCACATATGTTTTGGAAAGATCAGTTCAGTATGTCATGATTGTTACAGAGATATCAGCTAAATAGATCATGAATGAGTGGTGGCTGGCTGACCAATTAAGATATCTGGAATTTAATTCAGGAGACCCAGGTTTAAATCCTCTGTAAGGTTTGTGATATTTTTCTGTGGCAAAAGGAGCATCCTATCTTGCACAGTCCATGGGGACTGCACTAGATATGCAGCCCTAAATCACTAGGCTCAAGACCTTCCTGTCCGACACAGCGCTATGGAAAACATAGGCAGTTAAGACGAGTGTGCCATGAATGTAATGGAAATAACATTCAGGTGTTATGAATATTGTAGGTTTAATGTTTAAGGGATGTTCTAGAAAGATCAGTGTCACGAAAAATGTATAAAAATAATTTGTTAATGTAGCAGTTTAGTGTCATAAATGTTGTGGAAAAAATATAGTTTATCAAGAGAACATGTTACTCTGCATAGTGTTGCTTTCATCATAACCCCTTGGAAAGACTTGAGATCTTTAATCACCCATGTCCACCTTCACACTGGTTGACTCCTGCTTCCTTTTCCTGTAGACCCCATTTTTTCTATTACTGTTCTTTCTAAGCCACTTTCTTTCTTTCTTTCTTTCTTTCTTTCTTTATTTTTCTTCTTCTTCAGCATTTCGGAGCCCTTGAGGTCCCTTACTGCAGAAATCACCCATCTCTCTTTATCTCTGTTATTGGCCTTCTATTTCCACCTGGAGACTCCATGTGTTTGTATCCCTTATGTTATCTCTACACCATCTTCTCTGTTTTGCCTCATGATCTACAGCCACTCGTCTCCCTTATGTACAGTTTGTGCCTCTTTTCCATCTGCCATTCTGCCTATTTACCCACATGAGTTTAAGTCTGTTAGCCCTCTTGATACCCCGATCAATGGTGATTTAAACAGATAACTCTTGTTGTTGCTTCTCACTCTTTATTGCCCACTGTTTGCATCTTTGAGCTTCTTTCAGTTTTACTAAACGTGATCAAACTGTCTTGCTTTTTATGTTTGTTGTTAACAGTTCTCACTATTTTTCTTTTCCACAGTCACCCTTTGACAGTGGGTCACATGATGATGGCATGTCTGCACCAGGGTTAGTATTTGTTGTTATGTTTGTTGGATTGTTTAACTGTTGAAATGTTTGGCATAGAGTTAGTTAATTAATTCCATGGTCACAGTCCCAGCTTCTTCAAACTCATGCCCTTGTTGCGTTGAGCTACAATTTAAAGATGGAAACAAGTAAATTAATTGTTGGCTGGTACTAAAAGAGTTTGAAAATGAGTTCAGCAATGTTGGCAGGAGTTTGAAATGAGTTCAGCGATGTTGGCAGTGAGAGTGTACAGCATGAAAATGGAAACACCCAGTGGCAGAGAGAGAGAGAGACTTAGAAGAAAATTGACTGAAGGCATTTTAAGTCTTCACAACATCATAGCATACCAGGCAACTGAGCAAGCTGTGGCTTGGCTACCTTTCTATGTGTTAACTGTGTCACCTAGTCGCACAAAGCAGATGTTGACAAAGTAAAGAAGAAGACTAAAACAGTTAATTTTCCAGAATATTTCCTGATACACGATTGTTATGGGGCCCTGTTCTTTTGCAAAATCATGTGCTCTGTGAAAGATAAAAGACCAACTTGACAAATATGTATGTGTACAAATGTAAAGGACCTTTTCCACACCTTTCAGGCGTATTGGGCATATAGGGCTAGACCTATATTTTATGAACCAAATGTCACTTGGTGGGTGGTGTGGTCAGCATCACGCCGGCCACCAATACTTCCTAGGACTGTACCTGGTAGCCACGCAAGGCTCGGTCGACCAGGGAGCCAAGGTCATTTATGAAAAAATGTCCAGTTTCTGTCAGGAACCAAACCCACGACCTTCCGATGAGCAGGTGAGCATCTAACCACTAGACCACGGTGGCTTCCAATATTTATATGTGCATTTTGTTTTTATGTTTGAATCCAAAGTTGAACCTAGAATCAACGGACCAGTAAATACAGTGACTGCTATTTATACATGCTTGCAGTTGCAGTGTAACATGTATATCAAAGCTGTGTTCCCCGTAGTAAATTTGAACTAAGAAGATGCAAACAGTAGATTGCACAACTGATTGCCTGGCACATTTCTGACAATGCGGCTGCTCTGGTAAAACAGGCAGTTGTGTTTGATTGTTGTTGAATGTGTACTTCATTTTAAAGGATTCACTTATTTGCTTCATTTATGTAATTGTTTCTGTAGAATGCACCTGACGAGATACAGCAAAATATGCCAGGCAGTAAATTGTGCAATCTGTTGTTGGTTGCTTCTTTGTTCTAATTTGTCTATGTCATGTGACTGAAAATGTTTATAAAGAGGTAGTCCCCAAGACAGGGGAAACCTATAAACTAATTAGAAAAATTAGATGCAGACATGAATTTTGTGTGTGTGTGGAAATAATAGACTTAGTAAAAAAGTAAAGATCCCTTTTCACACCTTTGGGCGCATCGGGCATATGGGCAGAGCGTCCCATATTTTTACAAACCATCAGCACTCTGTGGGTAATGTGGTCAGCATTACGCCGGCTGTCTTTACTTTCCCAGGACAGCCCATCCTGGTACCCATTTTAGGCTGGGTCGACCTGCGACGTCCCCATACCACGACAAAAATCCACACAGCCTGCAGTGGGTTTCGATCGCGGTATGCTGGCTTACGAGTCGTACTCGCAACGCCTTAGCCACGGACGCCGCAATAGACTTAGTACCTGGGAATATTTGATTTGGATGGCTAGACCTGACGGATTGGGAGGAAGGGGTCAACATTGCAAGGGCACTGACCTGATCCATGATTCTGGTGATTAGATGGAATGGCAAACCATAGCTGCTTCTGGGTTTATAATGTGCTTCTGGGTTTATAATGGCAGTTCACATGTTGAGGGTGATGGTGATGATGATAGGGATAATGATGTTGACAATGACAGTGATGATCTTGATGATGATGATGATGAATATGATAATGAATGACTATAATCGTTCACAGATACTCTCAGACTAGACAGGTGCTCCAGATGGAGCAGGATGTGGATCTGGAACTGCTGAGGGAGAGGGAAGATGCTATCAAGAAGCTGGAGGTAATGTTGGTGATTGGGTGAATGAATGAGCGAGTGAGTAAATGCATGAGTTAAGAAGTGAATAAGTCAATGTGTGGATGAATGCATTAGTTGGTGAGTAAATGAATAAATAAGTGAATTTATGAATCATGCCCCAGGATATGACATGTATTGAAAAGACCTGATATTAGTATAATAAAATGCCCTTGCACAGGAAACCACAGAGTGACAGAAACAAAAGGAGGATGTGGAGTGAGCTGCAGGTGATGGTAATTGATAAGAAGGCTTGGCATTAGTTGGTTGGAAACATATGCTCCTTCAGAGGATAAATGTATTCTTCTCCTCCTCCTCTTTTTCTTCGTCTGCTGCCGCTGCTGTCTCTTCTTCGTCGTCGTCTTCTTCTTCTTCTGCGGCGGCGGTGGTGTCATCCTCTTCCTCTTTCTCCTCCTCTTCCTTCTCCTCTTCTCCTCCTCTCCTCCTCCTCCTCTTCTTCTTTTTCTTTTTCTTCTTCTTCTGCGTTCAGCCTTAAAAGACACGTTGTTTAGTGGTGTTACAGCAAGGCTACATTGTCTGCAGTAAGAGGATAAGCTACAGAAGCCACAGATTCAGGCCACTGTTTTTGAGCAGACATCAGCAGTCATGACACCAAAACTTTGTCCGATATTTTGATAAATTTGGCATTGCTTGTATTAATATTTGTTGTGTAGCTATTTAAGCTTTCCGTACACATTTTTCTTTGTCTTCTTCTGGCTCTTCTGTCAACTTTTGTTACCACATAGGATAATTTCTCTTTTCCACCTCTTCATTTGCTATCCTGCTGGCCCAAAGGTCTTGTGTTCAAATCCACATCAGAATAAATACAAAATGACCCTGGTTGCCAGGCTGACCCAGCCTGCAAAAGGGCCCCAGGTGAAGTGCTCGGACGTAAAGTTGGTCAGCGTGATGGACAGCATCACCCATCGAGTGCCTGTTGGTCTTTAGAAATATGTGTCTAGCATCATATACGCAATATGCCACTGGCATGAACAAGTTTCTTTACATGACTACTATTATCTCCTCAGTTTATGTGCCCATAAGCAACTCCACCAGTGCCTGAATCAAGACAAAATTGCCAGTAATTCACATCAGATTATTAAGTCACAGGCAGTAGGAGTTACCTTTCAGTCCACAGTCAGTGGACAAATTATTTGTCCTGGAGGCCTCTGAGGCTTGTTTTAGTATCTGAATGAGAGGTAGCAGTGATAGTAATTTCTGGCTAGTACTTGAAGTGTTAATTTGCTGTCTGTGGTCATCTCTCAGAGTGATATTGTGGATGTGAACCAGATCTTCAAGGACTTGGGCATGCTTGTCCATGAACAAGGGGAAGTTTTAGGTGAGTTCTTTTTGCCAGTTTGTAAGTGTTTTTGCCTAATCATACTGCCCAACCCCCCTTTTAAAAATTTTTCTACTGTAGTGCCAGAAGTTTTCAGAAAATAATGGCCCACATTTTCCCCCCACTTGCAAACTGCTTGTGTAAAATGTATGAAGTCACTGATGATAATATGTCCTGTTCAGAGGAAATAATTTCTAGAATTTCTGTCCACTTCTATGACGATAAATAAACCAAGCAACAAGGTCATGTTTATTCTGCATATACCAGTTTTTTCTTTCTTTTAGCGAAGCCATTTCTTCACAGCATGAATAACATCCTCAGGTCTGTTTTGTCACTTTCTGAGGCTCAGCTCTCTGAACCAGGTGATAAGCAGTGCTCCTATGGACTGCACAACTTTCTTAAACATGACCAGATGTTTATAGAAGTTTACCTTTTCTTTTTACACACCAGTAAACTTCACAACAGTTTGCTGTTGTGATGCACATTTTCCTCTACCTCAATTTTAAGAGATGAATGAAACCGTTCTTTTTCTGAGAATGAGAATTTTGTACATACAATACTGGCATTTCATATTTGACTGCAAATTTCATGTTTCTTTTTTCATTATTTGTAGAGGGAAAAAAAAAGTACTTTCTGAAAGCCTCTCATATAGATTTTAAAATATTAAGCTTTTTTTGGATACAACATAATGCAAATGCTGTGTATCTCCTCATACATTGTTCATTTTCAAGGGGAGTGCATCATTTATGCATCTCTCTTTCTAACTCAGAGTCTGCTGTGTCTAACTTTCTTTTACTTCCTCTAAAAAGATTCCATTCAAAGTAACAGTCTCCACATGCTCAAACACAAATCTGCGGTTTGCCTGTGGAAATAACTTCATCCACTGTATCAGTTAATGCTCTGCTTGCTCTCCTTTGGATCATCTCTGCTTGGAATAATGTTCAGCCAGAAATGATACAGAAGTGTTTCAAGAAATCTGAATTTGTCACAGCTCAAGAGCATGATGATTTAGCCCCATCAAACCTTTTATCACCAGCAGCAGAATTCAGAGGAACAGATTTTGCAGGTTTTATTGCAATGGATGAGATGGTAACCAGACCCAGGAAGAAATTTTCCAAGTGCCGTTGACCAGCAAGTACAGACCAGCATAACTGCATGAAGCAGCCAGAGAAGTTGAAGACACAAGTGACGATGGCACAGCAATTGCAGAGACTCCAACAGAAGAGGCTGTCAGGTATCTGATAATGCAGTTGAAGTCGTTTGCTATGGAAAAATGCCCTGATATTCTTAGTGGTGTAGCCAGCGCCGACAGTTCTTTCTCCACATACAATTGTAATAAGACACAAGGTGGACTCTCGTTTTTTTCAGAAGAATGATTAAACCATGATAAAACATATGTTCTTCTTCTTCTTTGCCTTCACTGGCTGTAAACTCAGATGCAATGTTCTGGTCCACCTCTGGACTTTTGTCTTGTTTGAGAAGCTGAGTGTTGTGTGCACATCTATTTTACAGATCTGACTTATGTGTATGCAGACTGATTCCTTGCCTCTCAGACACATGCACTCTTTGAAAGAAGCCCCCAAATAGTCAAATCCCCCTACATAATTTTTGGAGAGGCAGTGGGTCTGTTCTTCTTTTCCCCACAATGGGACCCTGGAAGCCACATGCGGAAAACAGATGTTGATTTTATGTTGTGGTTATGTTTGATTTCCTAGACACTATTCTCTGCTGTCATTTATTCGAAGAAGTATAGTATTAGTATACTAGGTCTTATTTGGTATGCTGACCACTTCGTACATTGACTGGTTTGCTAAGGTCCCTTGGGTGGTCAACTTATAGAAGTTCAGATGGTTCCATCCCAACATGTTTCAAATCTCATAATTTCTGATTCCTGTCCCTTCTTGTTACATGTAGGATTCATCATAGACATTTAGACATTTCTGTTTCAATTTTTCTTTCTCCCTTTGCTGGTGATCTCCACATTTTTTGTTTCTGTTGTAAATTTACAGACAGCATTGAAGCTAACATTGACAATGCCCAAATGTCAGTTGAAGAAGGCACCAAGCAACTGAGCAAGGCTAGGGCATATCAGGTATGGAAGACAGTTGTAGATTTGTTGCATGATGGTTTTGTTATCAGCACTGCATGAAATACTGAAGCTAAATTGAACAGGTCATTTATGTCTTCAGTTTTAAAGTTAGTAATAAATCTTTATAGTCATGGTAGCGTAGTAGCTAGGCTTGTGTCTCCCGGGTCAAAGGCCTTGAACTCAAATTCACATCAAGGCAATTTCTGTAATTGAGTGTGGCTAGGATGGATCTGCATTAGTGTCGTGACTACCTGTTCACCTGACGGTCTGAAGGTGTAGGGTTTGATTACACGTTGAGGAAGTTTTTAAAATAAAAGTTTACCTTGGCCCTCAGGTTAGCTTACCTTAATGTAATGTTCGACGAAGTAAAGATGGCCAATGTAATGTTGACTACAGCACCCATTCAGGGCTGATTGGACTATAAATACGTGAGTCTAATATCATGTGCCACTAGCCTAAAAAGGATCCTTTACTTTACTTAGGTTCCCAGGTTGCGCCAGTCTAAAATGATTAACATTGTCCTGGGGAGTAAAGTTGGCCAATTCATCTGTGAAAATATACCTCTAGCACCACATGCAAAATGTTCCAGTGGCTTCAATCTTTTTATTTTTCCTAGTAAAAGTCATTAATTTGATTCAGTTTGATTTAATAACTGACATCATAGAACTTGGGACATTCCTATAAGCACTCTGTCCCCATCTTCAGCAGCCAAAACAGAGTTCCAATACCAATGGTTCTGGTAGCAGTCTGATTATATGTCCGTCTGGCCTTTCCTCTGAGCATTGAGTATCGGCCAGAGCCCCTCATCACGCCCTGCTGCATCACTCTTACACGATCAGTTTGCTGTTCTAAATTATACACAGGCTCTCATAATTGATGTAATGTATGGAAGAAAGGAAACCACATGAGTAATATAGTCACATGGAGGAGAATTATCTTTGTTTATAATTTCTTTTGTTTGCATCGATAATGTTTTCAACAGTAAACCTAACTGGACAAGCTTTTGAACTTTCTAATATCTCCATCACTGGTGGTAGTCTTCTACTCATCTCTTTAATTTAGTGAATGTCAGTACCAACATGTGTTTGTGTGGGAAAGTTAAGGATCCTTGTGTAGTCCTTGTGCTTTGCACTCTTTTTTTAACAGAGACTTTGGGGATCATTGCCAGAGCTGTGGTGTTTGTGCTTTGTGTGACATTGCAATGGTTAACTGTTTTTGTGGAAAGAGAGACCGAGCCATATGGGATTAAACCCAGTGCTAAGAAGTCAGTCCTCTTGACTGTAACCATTTTGGGGATGTGGCAAAGACAAGTACAATGTAAAGGACCCCTTTCCATGCCAGTATTGCACTTGGCATATGATGTAAGAATCATATTTTTATAGACTGACCATTTCAACCTCCATGGGACACATAGTGTCTGCCATCTTCACTTGCCAAAACATTTTCTAGTAACATTTGTGGCTGACTGGACCTGCATGGGAAGGTAATTTGTTTCCCGAAATCTGTCTGGAGATTTAAACCTAAGACCTTCAGGTGGGCAGATGAGCATCTAGCCACTACTCTGCGATTGCAGTTTGGGATATGGTGCTAGAGCAATATTTGTATAGGTTAAATGGCAGTTGATAGGTGTCGAGGTCAGTATGTCAGCCTCTTGTATTTCCCAGAACACTTCCTGGTTTTGTTATAGTCTGGGTTGACTAACCATGCCATGTCAATTTAAACATCTGCCCCTACTGGGATTTGAACATGTGACCACATGGAAGTAGATTGAGACTTAAAAAACACATGGAGAAGAGATGCAACAGATTGTTATCATGTTCTTTCTTCCCATGTGGCTTCCATCTCTCCAGTTTTTTGTATGTGGGGGTTGGTGGGGGGGTTAGCAGAGAGATCTACTGCTCCCTAACAAGCATGTCATAAGATGCAACCAAAAAAGGTTTGCTGAAATTCGATGTGTTGAGCCTTTTAATGTGCAGATTTAGCAGCTTGGCTGTAAACCACAGTATGGTGTGCCAACCACTTTTTAAGAAGAAGAGGAAGAACACATTATTTACCTTTTCTATAACACTTACCTGTGTATTTAAATTATCTGTAAGTCTACATAATAGTTTAGGAAGCATAATAGTTGCAAATATTACTTTCTAAGTATTGTTAAATGGTATATGCTGTTTCCTTGTAGTCACATTAAGATTATTGTTGTTTATGTATCTAAAATTATATTAGGACACTTGTCTAAAAAAATTTTAGTCATACTTGAACAGTTGCCTGTACGTATTTAAAATGAAACCCAACATATGCCAATACATATCTACAATTTTACTCGAACATTTGCATATGCATATCTATAAATATGCATGAAGTACATTATCTGTACATATCTAAAACAATACTTGCACATTTACCTACATTTAGCTACAATTGTGCTGGAACACATGTTTATACATATCTTGAACATTTATCTTCACATGCAGAAAATTGTACTTGAACACTGGGCTATACATACCAAACAGTGTCAGAACACTTTCCTATAAATATCTGCAGTTACACTTGAACATTTAGCTCTGCATATATACATTTATTTCTCTGTTTATCTCTAAATTTATACTTGAGCATTTGCCTAAACACTGGCCTAAACATATCTAAAATTGAACTTAAACACTTGCCAATACATATATATAACTGTACTTTATCATTTTTCTAGACATATGTAAATTCATATTCATACAATTGCTTATACAAGAAAAGATACAAGGGCACTTGACAGCAAACATACATTCTAGTCAAAGAAAGAAATCAGTAAATTAAACTGCATTGCAAACTTAAACAGGATACTTTATTTAGAAAAAAAAATTATCTTTGCTTTAAACAGGATTTTAGAATTGTTAAAAAAAAAAGTTTACCCTCATCTATAATGATGAGACCGTTACTTTGTGTTGACTTGTATGTTCCAGTTTTTGTTTACCCTTGTTCTGTAGTAACAGTATCATTTGATTTTATTTTCTGTTGGGATGGCTTTTATTTATTTTGATTTCAGTCAAAAGCACGGAAGAAGAAGTGCTGCATTATCATCATTGTTCTGGTTATCTTGGCAATCATAGGCTTGATAATCGGTCTGTCTGTAAAACACAGTTAGTTCCTGATCCTACAGAAATTTTCACAGGTGTTGTGTTTTTTTTTTTTTTTTTGGTTCTTTTGACAGTTTTTTTTTGATTGCACAAATTTTTTTTTATTTACTTAGTTTTGTATTTAAATCTTGATCTCTGAACCAGATATTATTGTAACTCTCTCTTTCCAAAGACATTGTTACATAGCTAATAAATGTATGCATGAGGACTGCTAAAAGGAGTTAAAAGAACAGTGTGGGCGGAGTCGGTTAATGTAACAACTGGATAGGAGACAAGACACTAAAGAAATGGTCTCCAACCCGGGAAGCACAAGGACGTTCCAGGGAGGGCGTCTGTATGGCATGGGGTTTTGCAGGATACTCCTGAGAGGTGTGGGGGTATTGCAATATACTCGAGAGAGGCGTGAGGATATTGCAGTATACTCAAGAGAGGCATGAGGATATTGTAGTATACTCAAGAGAGGCCTGCGGATATTGCAATATACTCAAGAGAGGCGTGAGGGTATTGCAATATACTCAAAAGAGTCGTGAGGGTATTGCATTATTCTAGAGAGGCATGGGGGTATTTCAGTATACTCAAGAGAGGCGTGAGGGTATTGTAATATTCTAAAGAGAGGCGCGAGGGTATTGCAGTATACTCGAGAGAGGCGTGAGGGTATTGTAGTAACCCTCAAGAGAGGCGTGAGGGTATTGCAGTATACTCAAGAGAGGCGTGAGGGTGTTGCAATATAATCAAGACAGGCGTGAGGGTATTGCTGTATACTCAAGGGAGGCATGAGGGTATTACAATGTACTTAAGGGTAGCAGACAACCTCACTAAGGACAAAATATCATATGATTATAAACTAAGAAACACATGGCAAGTTTCTTAGTAGTGAATGAATTTAAAAAAAAATGTATTTTCTACTACACTTTTATCTTGCATTATTGCATTTGTCTCCCATTCATTTCATTTGGTTAACCCATTTTGCCCATGTTTTTGCATTAAATCCTTTCTCATTCTGTTGTTCTTGTAACTACTTTAGATCAATATTTATTAGTTAAATAATATATTCTCAGGATGTAATGAGTTAAATTAGCTGGGACTGAAAGAGTTAATAAATTTAGCTTAGTAATATAACAGCAACGCGTTTCGTAATGCCGGGGTGCCGGGTTCGATCACAGCTGCGGGCCTTGTACCTTGCGTTTGTTTTAACAATGGTATCAAGAAACCGACCGTCCAGAAAGCAATGGCAAACTACTGGACGTAAATTTGCCTAGAAAAACCACAGCAGCCAAAAAATGCTGGGGTTGGTTCTGCAGTGTCAATTAAAGGAAACACTACTAACAAACTAATATAACAGCACTTATAGAAGCTTAATGTTATCTGTCTGTTGAATGGTGTAGATATAAGAATGAGTGGAGCAGTCAGAAGTGCCTGGCTCGAATGGTCAGTGTAGGATTAGTGAAAAGCTCATAGATAAGAAGTTACAGTGTATTGGAAGGTGGCATGGAATGGCATGGACTCAGATAGAATATTAGAATTAAGCTGTGGGTTTTTTACAAAATAGGGGACCTGATAAAAACAAACATTTCACAGAATGAAAAATATTCTAGGCAATATTTGTTTCTCACTAGGATTGGAAACAAAATCTGTGAGAGCTTTATAGACCCAGTCTTCTTGTACGGAAATGAAACTAATCATCGTCAGGAGGATGGTGGATGTAGATTTTATAAGAATAGCCTTTGTGGTGAATTAGAAAGGAGTGGGAGATCTCAGGGCTGGCTTCTGGATCAGTCAGTATAAAGATGTGAGGAAGTGGGACATGAATGATACAGTTGTTGTTATGGAATTATTGGAGCAGGGTACCATGAATTAGGTTGCATGGAGGGGCAAGATTTAGAAGGGAATAGACAAAGCAGCAATTTTTTTCTTTCATTTAGATTGACTCTTTCAGTCACAAGAAACATTGATATGTCGCTGTCTCTGCCCCTTGAGTCCTAACCATTGGGTAACATGTTTTCTTACTTTTTACTTCTGGCCAGACCATATATGAGAAAGCTGGCCACTTTCACTGGTTATTTGCCTTTTGAAAAGTGATTTTTTCATACTGATTATATATTTCTTCCACTTGTGTATCTGCTGCAAAAATTTCTGGGACTAAAGTGACTATGAAATCTCCTGTGCTAGACATTGTGGTAGACATTTCTGATGGTTTTGTGTGCGTGTTGGTCATACTAGCCATCAGAGTGGTTTGATATTCAAATACTTCCCTTTGGCACAATAACATGCTATTATTGGGAAACTCAGGAAGATAACAGTAAGAGTTTTTTTTTTCTTCTCCTTCATTTGACTTTAAAATGAAAGTTGGCACATTGTGTTGTTGTTTACTGTTAGGCTACAAAATCTGTGCCTTTCGAATTGACACATCCAATTTCAGCAGTTTCCTAACTGGTTGCCTTTTATGACATGCTTGCTAAGGGGCTGTGGATTCTATTCTTTTCCTGAAAAATGGAGCTTCTGAACTCAGATGGAAGTTTTTAAAATGGGATGTCACTTGATGATAGTAATTTAGGAACATTAAATAGGGTAGGGTAGGGTGTCAGGCAAAGTTATGTACTATGCCCTAGTTTGGAGTTTGTTACCATGGTACTGTGAGTGTGTGGTGAGATCTAAAGGAAATATACCATGTTTCAGATAAAGCACTGCTCTTCTGATCCGGCAGCTTCTGCAGCCTGCTTTGTTCCAAGCGTACTAGTGTTACCTTCCCTCTGGAGTAAACAAGGCAGGTTGAGAGAGAGATTATGATGCATGGGCAACATATGGTCTCTACCAAACTGCCTAGGCTTTTTGCTATGGAGAGGATGGCCATAGGCTGTGAATTGCATGTCTCCTCTTAGTGCAGTTAACACTGTTGTCTGGGAAAAACGGAAAGATGCCAATCATGCCGATGCATGGTCTTGACAACAGCACTTGCAAAACAGCTACAGACAATCATTGAGACAGTCTTAGAAAAGAGAAGAAAACAGGTCTCATTATTATAAAAAATGATAAAACAGAAGTAATGGTTAAAGAAACACATCCTTTCTGAATGGACAGCTAAAGCCTTTGGTGCTAATCTAGTAATGGTTAAAGAAACACATCCTTTCTGAATGGACAGCTAAAGCCTTTGGTGCTAATCTAGGAGACAGAAAAAACACTTTAAATATTTAGATAATTATCAGACTGCATGCAAGTAAAAAATGAGTTTTGAAAAAATATACAGTTGTTCATGTCATTATGTGTTTCACATATGATTCTTTTGTGTTATGTAGCACCCAGTTTATCATCTTGAACATTTTACTGCAATTCTCATGAAAATGCCCTACTGATATCTTCTAAATCTCATGGTGTATCAGTAATGACACATTTTACATTCTCATGATATATCAGTAATGGCAAATTGTGCATTTTCATGATGTATCAGTAATGACCCATTGTACGTTATCATGACTTTACATCGTTTTCATGATGTACGCTCACAGGTGTCGCTCACTGTCTTCTTATAGTCCATGTAGCATAGGTAATTGTGTCTACCTATAGCTTTCTGTCTTGGGTACTGTCAGTATCATATGATACAGACATTCCTCCATGCCATGATGCTGTGTGGAGCAGATTTTCTCTGTTAGCCTCTCTCTGCTTCTCTTCCCCTCCCAAGTTCTTCTCACAATGTGCCCACAAATATATATGATTTTGATGTGAGTAGCATCTAATAAAGTAATATTTGTGTCTGTTTTCCTGTGATATAATCAAACTGAGTCTCTAATATCTGCACCTGTTAATAGGCTTAGAACCTTTTCTGTGATGCTGGTTTTGATTTCATTATCCTTCATTTCCTGTTAAATATATTCTCGGACCTCTCATACATTGCATGTTAGCTGTTAGCCGACACTTGTTCAGTTGATAGTGTTAAAAAGAGGATGAGAAATCACAGCTGGTTAAGGCCAGGAATAAAATTCTCTTGTCTGTTTCCCAAAGCTCAGGCAGTATCGTTAGTTGAGACTATGTGTTGGCCATGCAGCATGGTCCTTCTCTCAGCCTTCTTTGTTTACTCCATGGGGAAGGTAACACCAATCTGTTTGGAATAAAGCATGCAGAAGCTACTGAACTGAATCAGAAGAGCACTGTTTGGTCTGTCCATTTGCCAGAGCATTCCTCCTAGACCAGCAGACAGCCGATGCTAAGGGCCACATGTTATCTGTAGTTTTTTTTTTATTTTAATATCCTTTATTCTGTTTTATCGGTTAACATACTTGGGATATGATCACATGTCCCTCGTTATCTATAATACTACATTTTATTTCATTATCTCTTATTTTCCATTATATTTATTAATATGCTTAGTACCAGATCATACATGTTTATCTGTAATGTTTTATTTTATTATCACTTATATTCTTTAATATGCTTAACTCTTTGAGTCCCAGGGGGTTTAGCATCACAGGTCCAGGAGGTAGTAAAGAGAGTCATAAAATCGGCGTATCATGAGTTTTTTGGGCTTCTAGGTAGGAACTTATGAACGTATGATGTGTTTCTTGGGACTCAAAGAGTTAAGACATGATCATACATGATACCTTATTTGTAATTAAATGTTGTCCATTATCCTTCATTTGCTCTTATATTGATCAAAATGCATGAGACTCCTCACACATTATCTGTTATGTTACAGTTTACACCATGATCTCATATTCTTAAAGCCGTACTTTCCGCTTTTTCTTGCAGGCCAAATCCCGACGAAAATGCTTAATCCTCATCGTCATTGTGTGTTTCATCATTCTTATCGTGGCACTCATCATTTACCTATCTGTGAAATGATGAGCGACAGACGGCTGATACTGAAACATCCTCGTCTTGTGTCCACGATAGCTTCAGGTTCTCAGTGTACACCAGTGTCCATCGGCTACTGACTTGATTTATATTTGGTTCATTTTCAAACTGAATTTTATAGCATATATTTGTTTATTTAATTTAATATAATGTTCATATATTGTTTGTTATCTGCCCCGAGTGCAAATATGAAAGCAATGTGGTTTAGTTTTTCTTATATGAAGATTCTTGTTGAACAGTAAAATAATCAATGATATAAACAGTCACATAAGCTTATTGACTAGACTGTAAATCAAATATGTGGGTGGGTGTATGTGCTTAGACGTGTACATTTATTGGGCCCTTTTCTACATACACCTCAACTTTTTCAGTACCAGCCTGCAACATAAATCTTTATATTCTAAGAAGTTTCAAGTAGTCAGTTGTTGGGTCTGAAGCTGTCACATTCAGAATGAGTGTTAATGCATGTTTTGGCCCCCTCTTCTCCCCTCCCCCCCCCCCCCCCCCCACACCCCATAAATTGTTCACAGAGTGGTATCTTCGCCATGTTTGGTCAGACTGTAAAAGCAGTGTATATTTTTTTTTTTATTGAGGACTTTTTTTGAAAAAAGACAGTTTCAGTGACAGAGACAGAAGTTAAAATTAAAATCAAGAGGATTTACTTTGTTGCACTGTGTTTTATCCTGTATGGCTCAGACGCAGAATGGCTAGCCATATTGTTGAGAACATCGCACAAAGCACAAACGCCGTAACTCCAGTGACGATCCTCAGGGATATCCGTAAAAATTGCACTCATGAACTGAATGACACATCTATGAAATAAAACCATGACCTTCTGAGGGAGAGGCTTGACCATTTCACCACAGAGACCCAAAGACAGAGACTAAAACTGGCATATAAACATGTTGAATAAACAGCCTGGACTTTGGAAAAGAAAGGTGACAAGAGAAGGCAACTGGGTTCCCCACCTTGTCATAGCCTGCATTGTTTAGTGTTTGATTAATGTTTCATGTTTAATTAGGAATCATCATCACAGCACTCGGGACATTGCCCTAACCGCTTCATCCCTATCTTTTGCAGGAAGTGCAGAGTTCCAAATCCAGTGGTACTAGTAACAGCCTGATTGTATATCCGTTTCACCTCTCCCTTGAGTGCTGATTGTAGGCCAGATCCGTACCAATAGCAGCCTGATTGTATATCTGTTTCACCCTACCCTTGAGTGCTGATCAGGTGTTTCCGCACTGTTCACTTGACCCCAAAGGGCCCTTACAGCATCTAGCTTGCCGTGCATCAGTTCACCACCAAATTGTGCAGAACCAGCCAGTTTATCTGCCTGTTTATTTCCGAATACACTAGCAGATCCTGGGGAAAATATCCAAATGACACCAACTACCCTGTGAAGTGAGGCCTGTATTGTAGTTAATCCTTAATTGGTTGTTTATGATGCTTGTTAAAGGGCAGTTGATTACCCCCCCTCCCCTCACTGTGGGGCACCGGAACCCACATGGGGAACATATTTAACCAGATTTTAAGTACTTTTTTCTTTAGTCCATGCTATTTGGCGCAGGCAGTGATCCTGCAATATTTCATTTCTAGTTACTAAAGTACCTTTTTTTATATGGTTAACATACACATAGGCCATTAGTTTTCCCACTCATATCTGCCCAACATACACATAGGCCCTTAGTTTTCCCACTGTTATCTTGCCCAACATACACACAAGCCCTTCTATTTTTCCCACTTGTTTCTGCTAACATACACATGGGTCCATCCAGTTTTTTACTTGTTTGTGAAAATGATAAGTGTCAGAGGTACTTCAATACTGCCAGTCATTTCTAAAACAGATGTTCTTCCTATAGTCCAAGCCATGTGTAAGTGGTTGCTGTGTCTGTTTTAGTCTTCTATCTTCAATACTGCCAGTCATTTCTAAAACAGATGTTTTTCTTATAGTCCAAGCCATGTGTAAGTGGTTGCTGTGTCTGTTTTAGTCTTCTATCTTCAATACCGCCAGTCATTTCTAAAACAGATGTTCTTCCTATAGTCCAAGCCATGTGTAAGTGGTTGCTGTGTCTGTTTTAGTCTTCTATCTTCAATACTGCCAGTCATTTCTAAAAAAGATGTTCTTCCTATAGTCCAAGCCATGTGTAAGTGGTTGCCATGTCTGTTTTAGTCTTCTATCTTCAATACCACCAGTCATTTCTAAAACAGATGTTCTTCCTATAGTCCAAGCCATGTGTAAGTGGTTGCTGTGTCTGTTTTAGTCTTCTATCTTCAATACTGCCAGTCATTTCTAAAACAGATGTTCTTCCTATAGTCCAAGCCATGTGTAAGTGGTTGCTGTGTCTGTTTTAGTCTTCTATCTTCAATACTGCCAGTCATTTCTAAAACAGATGTTCTTCCTATAGTCCAAGCCATGTGTAAGTGGTTGCTGTGTCTGTTTTAGTCTTCTATCTTCAATACTGCCAGTCATTTCTAAAACAGATGTTCTTCCTATAGTCCAAGCCATGTGTAAGTGGTTGCTGTGTCTGTTTTAGTCTTCTATCTTCAATACTGCCAGTCATTTCTAAAACAGATGTTCTTCCTATAGTCCAAGCCATGTGTAAGTGGTTGCTGTGTCTGTTTTAGTCTTCTATCTTCAATACTGCCAGTCATTCTAAAACAGATGTTCTTCCTATAGTCCAAGCCATGTGTAAGTGGTTGCTGTGTCTGTTTTAGTCTTCTATCTTCAATACTGCCAGTCATTTCTAAAACAGATGTTCTTCCTATAGTCCAAGCCATGTGTAAGTGGTTGCTGTGTCTGTTTTAGTCTTCTATCTTCAATACTGCCAGTCATTTCTAAAACAGATGTTCTTCCTATAGTCCAAGCCATGTGTAAGTGGTTGCTGTGTCTGTTTTAGTCTTCTATCTTCAATACCGCCAGTCATTTCTAAAAAAGATGTTCTTCCTATAGTCCAAGCCATGTGTAAGTGGTTGCTGTGTCTGTTTTAGTCTTCTATCTTCAATACTGCCAGTCATTTCTAAAAACAGATGTTCTTCCTATAGTCCAAGCCATGTGTAAGTGGTTGCTGTGTCTGTTTTAGTCTTCTATCTTCAATACTGCCAGTCATTTCTAAAACAGATGTTCTTCCTATAGTCCAAGCCATGTGTAAGTGGTTGCTGTGTCTGTTTTAGTCTTCTATCTTCAATACTGCCAGTCATTTCTAAAACAGATGTTCTTCCTATAGTCCAAGCCATGTGTAAGTGGTTGCTGTGTCTGTTTTAGTCTTCTATCTTCAATTCTGCCAGTCATTTCTAAAACAGATGTTCTTCCTATAGTCCAAGCCATGTGTAAGTGGTTGCTGTGTCTGTTTTAGTCTTCTATCTTCAATACCGCCAGTCATTTCTAAAAAAGATGTTCTTCCTATAGTCCAAGCCATGTGTAAGTGGTTGCTGTGTCTGTTTTAGTCTTCTATCTTCAATACTGCCAGTCATTTCTAAAACAGATGTTCTTCCTATAGTCCAAGCCATGTGTAAGTGGTTGCTGTGTCTGTTTTAGTCTTCTATCTTCAATACCGCCAGTCATTTCTAAAACAGATGTTCTTCCTATAGTCCAAGCCATGTGTAAGTGGTTGCTGTGTCTGTTTTAGTCTTCTATCTTCAGTACTGCCAGTCATTTCTAAAACAGATGTTCTTCCTATAGTCCAAGCCATGTGTAAGTGGTTGCTGTGTCTGTTTTAGTCTTCTATCTTCAATACTGCCAGTCATTTCTAAAACAGATGTTCTTCCTATAGTCCAAGCCATGTGTAAGTGGTTGCTGTGTCTGTTTTAGTCTTCTATCTTCAATACTGCCAGTCATTTCTAAAACAGATGTTCTTCCTATAGTCCAAGCCATGTGTAAGTGGTTGCTGTGTCTGTTTTAGTCTTCTATCTTCAATTCTGCCAGTCATTTCTAAAACAGATGTTCTTCCTATAGTCCAAGCCATGTGTAAGTGGTTGCTGTGTCTGTTTTAGTCTTCTATCTTCAATACCGCCAGTCATTTCTAAAAAAGATGTTCTTCCTATAGTCCAAGCCATGTGTAAGTGGTTGCTGTGTCTGTTTTAGTCTTCTATCTTCAATACTGCCAGTCATTTCTAAAACAGATGTTTTTCTTATAGTCCAAGCCATGTGTAAGTGGTTGCTGTGTCTGTTTTAGTCTTCTATCTTCAATACTGCCAGTCATTTCTAAAACAGATGTTCTTCCTATAGTCCAAGCCATGTGTAAGTGGTTGCTGTGTCTGTTTTAGTCTTCTATCTTCAGTACTGCCAGTCATTTCTAAAACAGATGTTCTTTCTATAGTCCAAGCCCACTTGGAAATAATCAATACTTTTTGTAAGTTAAAATTTTCCAAACTAAATTCCTTCATTAAATTTATTTAAAATGTGTCCATGATGTTCTCATAAAAAAAAAAAAAAAAACCCACAATAAACTACATCTGCAACATCTACATAATTTTTCCCCTAATCTGCTGACTGTCCATGATTTACTTTCATACAATGAGATTGGTTCTGTTTAGCTTTTAAGAGCTCTCTTTCGCATATCAGTTGACACAGTTATATTTTTTTGTACACAGGCGAAAGAACTGCACGCACTTTGAGACAGGATTGTGTATATGATACAGTATATTCACCATTTTGTAATTATTGTTCATGTTGTCCCTTAGAGCTGATGCTGTGAAACACTCTAAATGTATCATATAGATATCACTATTCAAAACAATTAAACTATTTGTGATAGTAAAGTGTATATTGCATTTTATTTACACTGATTCAACATTGTTCTAAATTGCTTTGAACTTAGTTGTACCTTGAGGATTTGGTTATGATTTATGTTTATATTTTTGTGTTTGTGCTGTTTGTATGAATCTCTTTAATCATGAAGTGAGTTGTTCTAGTGTTGTTAATGATGATAGGAGGTGTAATCTATTGGGATAAAGTGAATGTCAGTTGTCCTATCGTTCATGTAATTAAA